AGGTCGTATCGTATATGATTCACATCATTTTCATTGAACCATTCAGTGAGCCCTGTGCAACTGTGTTTCTAGACTTCTTTACAGGTCTTGTTGAGGTTTGATGATCCACTTATTGAATCGGAATCCTTTCACACTGCTTATTGAATCTAATTAGCTTTAACATTTGCAATTAAATGGTAAATGGCTGCATTTGTATAGCACTATATCCAAAGGGCTTTAAAATTTGCCTCTCAGTCACCTATTCACACACACTCACACACCAATGGCAGCGAGGTACCACACAAGGTGCTGGCCAGACCCTGATCAGGAGCATTTTTGGGGTTGCCCAAGGACATGAGGAGCTGGGGATCGAACTGCCAACCCTGTGATCAGTGGACAACCCGCTCTACTGCCTGAACCACAGCGGGCCAATTAAAAGTTATAAACAACTAAAATTTATTTTAGATCTGTAGTCACCTTTTGTTGGCTCAAAATATTGATTCAATGTATCTCAACCATTAACATAACAGCTGTAGCCTGCTTACTTTGTACACTTAGATTTCATAGGCTCCAAATACTTTATGTCAGCATCTAGAACTCAATCAAATCCAACAATAATAATGACTTTATTGATATAGCATCTTTCAAAAACAATACAATAAAAGCAAATAAGAACGTAGATATATACATGATAAAATAATTCCGACAAATGCCATTACCTAAGAAAAAGGCATTGATACCAGTGACTTTTATATGGGTAATATATAGTTTTCAGCGGCCACTAACGGTGTGGTTTTAAGATTGCAACCAGGTGTGTGCTCGTAAGCGTGCTTGCTTGAACTAACTAACTAATCCGAAACACAATCGCTTTCATACAGAGATCTTGCAAAAAACGCAGGAACACCAGCATGCCGGCTGTGGCTTTTCACTCAGACATGTTCAGGCTCTGTTACTTACACGTTCCCGGCTCAGAGGCAGCTCAACACCGGCTCTGTACCTTGCATAAAGCCAGCGAGACGCATATTGGCATAAAAAGGCAGTGTGACAGCAGCTATAGACAGAAAGGGAGACAGCTTCAGTAATATTTTTATCAGCTTGATGTTAAACTAATCCATGCTTGTTACATGATAACGTTACATTTACTGCATTTAGCCGACGTGAAACAGCGGCGTTAGCTCACCTATCTTTTACCGGAGGATCAACAATGTGAGCACAGCTAAATGTATTGGATGATATTGAAACAGTAAATGAGCTGGACTGAATATTATAAATGAGATTGTTGTCACACTTTATAACATTTGGACCGCAGTAAGTAACTTTACTGTAGTGTTGGTGCATGGCTCTTGCATTGTGTTGTTGTGCTGTGCCATTATATTTCATTATTGTATATTATGTGGGTCACGTTAGTTAATGTTACAGCGACTGAGAGGTGGAGAAGCAGTTTACCCAGGTATAGGTAAAACCACAGTAAATCTAAATTGAACATTACGAAACGAACAGCGGGCAGGTCCGAGCTAAAGTACGTTAGCTGTTAACAAATCGCTCCACATGTTTTTACCGTTACATCCTTTCTTGCAGGTGGTACACAGCATAGTTATATGGGTCGTGTTAGCTGGTGAAGTAATGTGGAAAGCCATAACATTACATATTATATTGCAATGCACTGCATAATGTTAGCAACTGCTCGGCGTTAGCCAGCGAGCTAACATTACTCTCTCTGTTTCTCCAGCGTTTCTCATGTTGACTGTTTTCACCAACATCATCTGATTCTCAGGGGCCCGACAGGCTTCAGCAAGTAAACCTTTATTGTTGTTTTGTATCCTTTCGTGGAGTTTGTGTTGGAGCCTGTGTTGTGCTGGGGGCCGGTAGTTTTATAGTGTTAGTGGACTGCCTTTTTTTAGCTGCGGTGTTGTTGCTGTAAGGTCTTTTCTGACGGGAAGGGACACTCCGCCAGCGTAGTCGCTTGTAGTCGTTCTGTGCTCCTCATGTGAACACACAGGGAGAAAAGCGGTCTGCAAGTAAGACAGGCGCTCAATGAATAGTAACCATGGCAACAGCTTCTGTGCACTATACAGCTGTAGTCCATTTAACTTAAGTTAAAATTATAAATGTAAATGCTCCGTATTTGTATAGCACCTTTCTAGTCTTTTCGACCACTCAAAGCGCTTTTACACTAAACTAACATTCACACACATTCATACACTGGCGGAACAGCCACCAGGGGCAAATCAGGGTTGAGTATCTTGCCCAAGGACACTTTGACACGCAACCAGGGGGAGCCAGGGATTGAACCGCCGACCTTCCGAATACCCACCCCTTAATACTAATTAATAATATATGTTTATACACAACATACATTCAGTTTTGCAGGGATGCTCTCAAATCCGAATTCTCTCCTGTTGATGTCCTGATAACTATTTAGTGAACAGTAATATATTCTGGAAACTCTCAAAAAAAAGAAAAAAGAAAAGAAATTGAATATATATTCAATTAAATTTTATTTATGTTGTGCCAAATCACAACAACTGTTATCTCTGAGCCTAAACAATATACACACAGAGGTACAGACAGTAAAGGTGATGTTGCTATAGACTGAATGAATAATGGGACAGATATTTATAGTAGTGTTAATGATAATAATGAGAGAGAGAGAGAGAGAGAGAGAGAGGTGTGTGTGTGTAAATGCTCCATGTTCTAGTCTTTTTTGCACTTTTACACTACATCACATTCACCATTCACAAACAATCATACACTGGTGGAACTGTCTGTCTGTCTGTCTGTCTGTAAAAAGCTTGTTTAATTCAGGGGGTCTGTATATAAGTGCACAAAGTACAGCAGTCGGCTGTTTTAGCTGGAGAATAGTCATCACTCTAGTGCAAAATCGCAGTCCTCTTGTGATTGTAGAGTGGGTTGAGAGAGATGCTCAAGATTTGGTATTCATAGGTTTTATTTGTTACATACGCAAACAATACAGGAAAATGCAGGGCAGCATGCATACATATAAAGTTGTGAATACTATTGCACTATAAATAATAAGTAAAAGAGTGAAAATAACAAGACTAAGGGCTCTATCTTGCACCCGGCACAAAGCACAGCGCAAGTGTCATTGCTAGTTTCCAACCGACGCAGTTGTCAATTTCACACCAAGTGTCCATGTTGTTTAAATAGCAAATGCACTTGCGCCCGTCTGTGCGTCCATGGGACTGTTGGTCTTAAAATGAGGTGTGGTCAGGCAGATTGTTGGCGTAGTGCTTTCTTGAGGCAGCAGAAAACGATTTTTCCAGTGTCATAGAGGAGACAGCGTCTGTCTGTCTGTTAACAGACTCCAGTCTGCTGTGGAGTTCAGACACTTCACTGATAAACCGCAGAGCTGCAGAGTAACATTAGGCTTAATGATCGGAGACCTTTTTTATATCACATCCACACTTCTGTCTATATCCCCCTCTGCTGTGAGTCTGCAATTCAATCAGTCAATTGATGGTTTTAATAATGCGCCACTGCCATTATAATAGCAATGTCTCAAGATTAGGGATAAGGTTAGGGTTAACCCCCTTCATGGTGAGCTCATGGAAGCCACTGCCTCAGGTTTGAAGTGACTCCAAAGGCTTTGGAACTGACGATAGGATGGCTGGTTCAGGAAGAGTAACGCTCTCTCATGAGTATGCAGATTATATGTAAATCACACTCTCATTGCCCCTCCTTTCAGACCCCTCCTCTCCAGCCAGAACAAAAAAAAGAAAGAATCCCCCCAAAATATTTTCACTCACTCTCCCACACTCAGTTTTATGTGTTTTGAGTCATGTTTCTTTTTCTCCAGGAATTATTTTATGTGGCGTTTTCAGCCCTTACTTGTCATCATTTTTGGAAAATAAAATATTATGAATTGGAAACAGTGACATTATAGAGTTGTAAACCTAAAACCTGAATGGCAAATTTGTCACTATGGAAAAGGGGAACAACGTTTGTGTACTTCAAGTGAGTATTTATATGGCCTATTCTACAATATTTTGCAGATTGTGCAGTCCTCCAGACAGCAAGCTTCTGCAACCCAAACAGCATGTGTCTTTACAGGCTAATAGCAGAGTAATTAAGGCACATTAGGGCTGCTTCTATCCCAGAGGGACCACATTACCCAACTCAAAACATGGATTCCTTTAATTTGAACTTTGCACGTTATTTTCTGTGATTACAAAATTGCAGATGAGTAAAGATTCTAATTTAAATAAATTCCATAGCACACCGTCAGTTGGAGTATATATTTTCCCAACCAAAACACCCAACAGGCACAGTCACATACAGCTGTAGCTGTCTGTATGTCCTCTGCAGTGCAACAAAATAACTTCATTCAAGTCAGAAGTATTCCAAGTTGAACATATTGAACACAGACTGCCATGCTGGGTCCAGACTGGTCTCGTCTAGTGGACTGAAAGGCCCCAGAGTGACTCAGAGGTTCCGCTGGCACATAATGGACATGATAACACTTCATCGACTCAGCAGACCAAGACAGTCCTGCCAGAAGGCACAAACAACATGTAGATAAGGTCACTACAGTAGATGACAGCATTGGTTCCTGATGTTAATAATGATTTTTAAGTTAAGGGTTGTCCTGTGTCTCACTGGCTCCATCTAGTGCATTTAATGGAAAGTATTTTTGAAGAAGAGCTGATATACACAGTCCCATTAAATATCTACTGTATTTTCCCCACACGATAGGTTTTGGGGTAATTTCATTAATTCCAAATTTGTTTGGGAATTTGTCCGACTAAAGTATAATATCTAACTAACTTCACTGTGGTAGCTCTGTCTTGTAGAGGGGTCATGTGTAAAAATGTTTTGTTTTAGTTCAAATTGTTCTCACAGAGCGTATATTCCAAAATAATGTTTTTAATGAAATTACGACAGAAAAACGATTTAAATAACAGCATAATCGATAATAAGTGATCTCTGATGTCATTACAAATACAAGCTAATAACCAACTGTACGATTGTAGCTGTTAGCAGACCTGTTTTCTGCATTTCAGGTCTGTCTGAGGTATCTGCCTCTCTGAGGTATAACCGACGGCCTACCTGCCCTGATGCCTCTGTAGGGGTTCATATTCCCACCCCCCCTCCTTCTCATCACAGGAAGAGCCATAGTCTGGGAAACAAGTGAGTATCCAAAGTTAGATTCAGGATTTTATTCATAAAACAAATAAAATATATTTAAATCCACCTCTTTACCACCAAGAGCACACTGACTCAGGTGAGGTAGAAACACGCAAAATTTAAAGTTTGCTGTTTTATTCCTATAGACAAACAGCTTGCAGGACAAGGCACAATGAGAGAACAGCTGGATGCTGAAAAAATAGCAATTGATTATTGCAGCAATCTGAAGTTTATTGTGCTCCACAAACAAAACACAGTAGCTTATGCAGCTAACAGCCGCCCATGTACTGCAAACAAATAGGCAAATACAATATCAATAATATGATGTTTACTGAAGTAATACCACATTGGAAAAATACTTGTAGATTATACTTTTTTTATTATTATTATTATTATTATAAGTATTATCAGAAATATGTAAATTCCATAACAAAAGTAAAAGTTGTACTGTTGTATTTTTATTTTATATTACTGATTTAGTACTACTGATGCATTTAAGGTCACGGTCTGGTAGAACAAATTCTATATAGTTATTTCACTGTTTTATAGTTTAAAAATAATAAAAATAATACAAAACGTACGATCTTTCACCACCCTGACAATGAGTGTCCTTGATGTAATTAAGTTGTGTTTTTGTGCTAAACTGCAAAATGTTCAAAATTCATACAGATTGTTCATAAAGTGAAGAAACATAAATAAAAGTTGTTTTCCTGCGCAAAATGTGTGTCACTTTCCTTAAAGCAAACAATTACGTGTTATAAGGTAACTGGTTCATGTGGTATTATGTCCAACTGTAATATATTATACAGGGATAGATATTTTAACACTTAAAGCAAACAAAGACATGCTATATAACTTTAAACATTACTGTAAGCTGTTATTCCATTTTATATCAGTAATTGTAAATGGTGACTAAAGTGTATTCGTAACGAGGCAGAGTCGGTGGTTATAATGTGTTATGGAACATGGTCGGAGATTCTTGCCGCACATTGATATAAACTGGTATTACTATTAGTTATAAAACATTAAATCAAAAGGTCATAATACATTATGAACTTTGCTATAACGCCTAATGCATGTTTGTAAACGATTATAACAATTGTTATAATGTCTTATGGACGCATTATATCGTGTAATATAAATATATGTATGTCATTACAGTGATGACCTTCATAGAAAGTGTTACCACTTATTCTAACCATTTTTGACACATGCAAGACATACAAACCAAAATACTACAATCATAATGTTGATCTTGATAAAATATTAAAAGATGCAGTTAAAACTTAATAAAACGGTAATATCATACACCAAAGACAAAAGCCATGCAGCGCAGAGTTGTAAGACACCAACTGAACCAACAGAAAATCATACTGCATTGTTAATATCCCATACATACCCAAGTAAATAATAATAATGTTATAACCCATGCATACCCATAGTCCACCCACAGAGGTCTTTACTTATGTTGGCTCACTGGACCTCTTCTCAGGACTGTGTTGGTGCTTGATTGACATCTCCCTTACCCTTCTGTTTTGTTGTACCTGTCAGGGCGGTACAACTTGCCCTATTTACATTCTTATTAGTACATAGAGTTTGGTGACATCACGTAAAACCCAACATAGCTCCACCCAGCATACACCCGACCTGAGGTCTAATCAGCCAGAGGAATAATGTGGATGCTCTGAGCAGCTATGTCTGTCAGATAAATTAGGGTAGTAGAGTAAAAAGTACACCGTTTCCCTTTGAAATGTAGTCAAGTATTAGTATAAAACTGCATAACATGGAAATACTTAAGGAAAGTGCAGATACCTCAAAATTGTACTTGATTACATGTACTTGGTCACATTCCACCAGTGGTCAGTAGTGAACAATTTTCAGAGTATGAAGCTCGATTCACCTTAGTCCTACATTTCCTGTAGTTTTGGTCATCATTGCTAATGTACTGAATAGCTGTAAGCACACAGTTCTAATGCAATTATAAATGTACATACTGGAGTTAAACTTGCTTCAGTGGTTTAAAACCTGTCTGAGTGCTTGTGTTGCTTTGCTGCAATGGACACCATTGTGCTGTATATATTATTAGGTAACAGAATATGAAAACTGACAGGAGAAGAAACAGGAAAAAAACAATGTGAGCTTTCATGAGAATGCCCCGTGATTGTGAAATGCATTGTAAGATCTGAGTGTTTTCCTATCTAATGGTTGATCTCTGTCCACAGCATGATGTGTCAGTATGGCATGTCAGAGAGCAGGAGTGCCACATTTCCCATAGAGAAAGCTCGACACCTGCTGGATGACAGCTTCTTAGAGTCTCAGAGTCCAGTCAGAAATGATCCACACAGTACATCTGTCTCCAATGGCCTGTCATTAGGTATGTATGTACTGTATGATTTTTGTGTTGGGACTATAACACTCACGTGACATTCTGTTCATGACAAATACAATTAATCTGCTTCTTCAATGACCAGTTTCTTCTGCTACTATATTTACAAATGCCCAATTAGCTTTTCTCACAAAACTGAGACCAAAGAATAAACCTGTCCTTCCTAATAGGCAGCAGTGAAAGCTCTTTTGGGGAGGAGCTGTCACCTGGAATGGAGAGGTGAGAGCCAATCATCACATGTAATTTTCAACGGTTTTAATCACTTTGAAATGACAAATGAAGAGTGACTTCAGCGTTAAAGTGATTGATTTAACTATTTTGAACTGAGGACATATCCTATTCAAACAACTTCACTACCTCAAACTAATTATAAACCTACAGTATGGTTCTGTTAAATACAATTAAAGACAATGTTCTATATTTTTTTATAGAAAAAAATCCAATGAAAAGACAAAATCAAAAGTGTGTTTCAACACAATCTGCACTTTCTGACTTCCCTATACTGTCTGTGATTCTCAGCTCCAAGCCTATTGGTTCTTACTGAAGACGTAAATCTTGAGAAAAACAAATATTTAGTTAGATGAAATTCCCTAATGCAGCTGGTCACTGTCAATTTAATCAACTGTTCCTCAAACAGGAGGAAATAGTGCATTTGTTGGGGACTATTTTCAGGTGGATGAATCCATACGTGGTGCTCTAGTGAGTATTTGGGGCAGCAGGACCAACACATTCTCACTCCCGACTCATCACATATTGACACTTGGTCAAGACCCCTTGGTGTCGCTTTTTGCACGTGTACAGCGCTGCGGTCAAGTTAGCAACAATACATATGTAATGTGCAGAACAGAAGTGGTGAACGTGAAATGTCGCAATTTGGCTATGTTTAGGCACCAAAACTACTTCTTTTTAGGAAAAGGATCATGGTTTGGCTTGAAATAACTTACATGACAAGTTCAGTAATGTAACGTATCTAAAAAGAATCAGTGTTGACTTTTTGTTTCACACAGAAAACAAACAGCAGTCTCCTGGGTGAAAGTCCTGTTTCTGACCAAACCATCCATCCATCCGTACATCCCTCCCTCCATCTTTCCATCCCAACTGTAACCGCTAAGCCTAAGCTTAAAGCAGCTGAGGGCTACGCAGAGGGTTAAAGTAGTCGACGTGCTTACCGTGGCCGCTTGTTCGGTCCAGAAAGAATGTAACAGGAGTTCAAGTTCTGATTTCTTCTGGCTCCTACACCAGCCTCCTACTTACTTTTCTGTAATTTATAAACTACACCTACTTTTAGTGTTCAACCCTGATAATAAAGGGCTTCCCCCAGTGCACTGAACTATGACCCTAAGGGGATTCCCAATGCGTTAAAAACTAATGCCAAGGGGTCTTGATCATGCGTCTGTATGTGACGACTTAAATGGGTTGGAAAGATTAGGTCAAAATAAACTACAGTGTATGTTCATGATGATGAAGGAACATGTCATAAAAACAAATAAATACAAGTTAATATGCCATACACACCCAAACAAATAAGGAACATGTCACCCAGTGCAACAGTGTGGCCAGTTTCTGGACACCAGTGGAGCTCCATGGCATCAGGCTGTGATACACACACAGTAGTTAGTAGATACATTGACTGTTACACACATGGGATTGGTTAACAGTAAGAAAAATATAGAATATCACCAGACTAACTCTATTTGATTTTGTCTAACAAATGTATTTCTGTCACCAGTTTGTATCTGTGCCTGCACCATATTCATTATGCATATGATATCAATGTATTTGAATGTCTTACGTCAAGTTAATCATACTGTATATCTTTGTTTGTCCGAGCAAGAAGATTTATATAGATTCATTTATATCTATGAATGGCAGTTTAAAAGTAGGCTGTGATAGTACTGTGTCAGAGTCATATGTATCAGAAAATAGTTTGAATTGGCTTTGGTTTAATAATCTGGGTTCCTCTGGTGACATGAGATTAACTGAACAGTTCTGCTAACCAAAAGGCCAATCCCTTGAGCCCTTCAGACTGACTTTCACAATGTGTGACAAACAGGGGCCGCATGTACGCAACACTGGGCCCCAACTGGAGGGTCCCGCTTCGCAACTCCCCCCGGAGCCGCAGCTATGTTTACAGGTACAGTGAAGTCGGAGAGCAAGAAGTTAATCACTTGATATAAGAATGAACTCATCTTTATGGGGGAATCGAACATAGGCTCACTCTAATGTGTTATCTCACCTCATCCCCTCACTGCATGCTGGTGGTGTCATTTTGGCTGAATTATGTGATATAGTAATTTCCTCCCCTAAAGAGTCAGTTCACCAAATCTTTAGCAGGTAGCTTGACCAAAACGGTTGACAGAACACACTGTCAAAAGTTTTAATTGAGACTATTTCTGATGCAAACAGTTGACAGTGTGTTCTGCTGATTATCCAGAGTAACAGTGATACTGATCCTGGAAAGCAATGTTGATGTAGAATGTTTTACAGCACTGTAAAAAAAAATAATAATAAATAATAATAATGGATTGAAGCTTTGATGCTGGTTGCTGTGAGAAGCAAAAATCCATTCAGGTCCATTCAGGTCTGTTGCTGCTGGTTAGGATCTGTAGCTAGCTTAGCACAAAGAATGGAAGCCCATTGAAATGCTAACTGCTAGCGCCTTCAAGGATGCCTAAATTCAAAACTTTACGTGTTTTACTCAAAAAATACTATCTTTCAAATTGTAGTAGGAAAATTATCATAAAATAAATAATCACATTCTTGCTTCCAAAGGAAAACCATTTTGTTTTTTTTAAGTCGGGGAGGTGATGTCGCAGTGCATGAGACAAATGCCTTTGAGGTGGGTGCTGGGGTTCGATTCCCACTGTGACACTAATGTGTTCCCGAACAAGAAACTTAATCCCTAGTTGCTGAAGAGGCGTGCGACCTCTGACATATATAGCAATTGTAAGTCACTTTGGATAAAAGCGTCAGCTAAATGAGTAAATGTACATTTAAGAAACTGGGATTGTAGGCTAATAGTCCTGATGGTGGCGCTAGAGCAACCATCTAAAATGTACAATACATGCATAGTCATACATGCTACCACATGTAGTAAGCAGAAATGTTCATCAGAGCTTTTCTCAAAAAAATGTAAAAGTACTTAAACCTATTCTCACTGCCCTGCACAGACCAGATTTTTTAATGGTCAAAAACTTTGCCAACAGAGCAACAAAATGTTTAACTGTAAACAATGACTGTAAGTTCTTGCTAAATAAATATCCATTGTTTATGAAACAGCTAGCATTTCCACTGCAGTCATTGGAAATTGGAACGTGATTGCCTAATCATTGTGTGACGCCATCTGACTTGGCAGGGAGCTCAAAAAGATGACCTTGGTGAATAAGGTTATGAGTTTGATCCCTGGGTGATGTAGAATAAACATGCTAATGCCTGTTCAGGCACGGTGTTGTGTGGGTTAGAGAAACATGTTTATTTTAAGAGGTTTAAAATAATTATAATAACAGGCAGTTCTGCTGATGTACCCTTCTGTATTTCTATTTTTTCTTCTTCCTCCTCAAAATGCCCAGCCCCAATTCAGCAGCTGTAATTATCTGTTATGATCACTATACTCACTACAGAGGCTAGTGAGAATAGATAATAGAGAATAGTGTTTGTGTAACAAATCTGGCAGTTGAATCTGAATGCTGATATTTCCCCCAGCAAATGTCTGTTAGTCCTAATATGATGATTATGATTACATAGAAACGTTATGACTTTATTCTCGGTCTTTGACCATTGGCTGCATTAGCAAAGGTCAACACAGCTGTCACCTGGGGAAAAAAAAGCATCACGTACAAATAGAGAAGAAGGCAAAGACTAGGTGTATGCTCTAATGGGAACGTGGCTTAAGGCTCTAAGATCAGCAAAAATATCTTAATATAGTTTTATAAATGACAGTTAGTAGGGTCACTGACAACAGGTGCCTTTGATCAAGTCATGACTTTGGCCTCCTTTACATCACTGCTGCAGTCTGTGATGGTCACTGCAGAGGTGGTTTACTGTGTGTTTGTCTTGTGTCTGTCTTTTCATCGTGCTATAAGAAAAAGCTAACTTTGGGAGCCATAATGTCAATGTTGGTCACTTTGCATGCTGTCTTTATAAGGTGATTCACTGCCACAGACACACACTGTTGAGTGATCACGCTATAAGGAATTCATTCCACTTTGCTCATATGGATATCCAGAGTCTGGACTGTCATGAAGTCAAACACTGCATCATCACAGGGACAGCAGTAGCAGTGTTACATTTCCAAGCATGTGGCCACACCCCTGCATCTGAATAGATTTCTGCCCTGATCACATAGTAAATGCATTTTCTGTCAAACTCTATTGCACAGGACACCTTGTAATCTGTAATAAGAAAACTAAACCCAAGAAGCCCAGAAATACACAGTGCTTTGCCAGTAAATAGATTTGATAAGTAGTAAACCAGCAAAAGTGTGTTTTCAATAAAACAGGCACTTAAAGGGTTAGTTACTCTTCTATACTGATCAGTGAAATCAGCTTGGCTAAAATGAAAACCTACATACTGTAGAACCATCACTGTCCTCACAGAGCATCATATTTGTGTCCAACAGTAAATTGTGAAAACAGTGAATCTGTTTCATTTGGTTGTAATGCTTGTGTTTGGTTTCCCTCAGCTCCTCTGCTGCCAACTCCTGCTATGGATGCAGCGAGGCCGGCAGTGTGACAATTGAAGGACCCCTGCGAAGGAAAACGCTGCAGAAGGAGGGACGGAAGCCAAGGGTAATGTGATCTTTAGTTTCACTGTGGTTTACGCTACTTTCAAATATGGCTCACAGTTTCAGCAACAGATTTATCTGATGAGAGTGAGTGAGATGTTTTCAGCATATCCGTTTTTTACTGTGTTGCAGTTGTCGTCGTGGACCAGATTTTGGATCACGTTGTCTGGATCAACACTAACATTCTATGGGGCGAAAGCACTGAGGGCCTCTGAGAGGAAACACGTAAGTGTCATGCTTAAAGAACATGAAACTCTTCTGACTGGAATGGGAACTGCAAACTGCAAACTTTAGGTTCTGATAAATCTTCACACTCATGGATCTGTTACTCAAACTGGACTTCCTTAATGATTTTTTCAGACAGTGCTGTTTTCAGTCTGAATGCCCTTAACATAACTTGACCAAATAACAGCAGAACATCTAAAGTATGCTAGCCACAGCATCTTACTGTTACTTGCGGTGTGTTTTTCTTGATTGTTAAGGCATGGCATACTACCTGACTCTATGTTGTCTGTCCTATTAGTGCCAGTAGTCAAAAGACAAACTGGTAAAGCATAGAAAATTGCAGACTCATTGCTCTGGCGGCCATACTTTCTGAAGAATTAAAATGGATTCTCTTGGATAAGCTTGAATAATTTATGTATATTCGCAGTGAAGAAGTTGTTAGTAAGTACAGAAGACATAACACTACAATATTTATGTGTCCCCTGGATGCATCCAAAGCTTTTGACTGAAAGAATCATGGGAAATTGTATGTAAAAATACAATAGCTTTACTAAAGCAAAACAAGTGTGTTGCTCTCAGGAGGAGGCGGCTAGATTGTAGGTTGTAGTCTTTACTCGCACACTGCTCATTTTTCTGCACCATTTTTCCGGTTCGCACGTATCTGTTTTTGGGGGCGAGAAAAATGGTCGCTCTGTAGAGCCCTGTGTGGCATGTCGGGCTGCAGCTAACAATGATTTTACTACTCGAAGCTTCTACAGATTATTTCATCGATTCATCGATGCATTGTTTAAGTACTTTTGCTTTATTTTGCTAAGGTGCAACTCCCCGACCCAGCCCAGCCCCTTTTAGAGCCTACCGTACTGTATAGAGCCGACATGCAATGTAGTTATGATAAAGCAAATATTAAGAAGCTACTGGGGACATTTAATGATGCATTTATAATCTTGTAGAAATAAGGTTCTGTAACTTGACACATGAAACAAGATGTGTTCATTAATATTTAACTGAAATCTTAACCAAAGTGCTTTTGTTGCCTAAGCCTAAACACAGACTAGGATATCTGATCAGATGCGAACCCTGGAATCTGCAGTCAGTGTCCCTTTCTGGGACACTGACTGCACTTTCTGTGTCCACCATCCACCACAACTACCTTCCTGCAGCTCGAGTGCAGTACATAAATTAAACAATTCATTCATTCAAAAAAACATAACCATAATCCAGGCCGCAAGGTTTTAAGAAGACAATTTAGTAATATTTAAACTTCATTTCTAAGAGAAAGGGTTTGCTAGATGTGTGTTGATTAGATGATTAGGAGTACTGAGTCCTTCAACTTGCTCACATTGTCTTCACTATCAACAATTGTTACTGCAGGTGAAGGTTTCTGTCCTGGTAAACGATGATAGGAATGTCCAAAGTGCAGTGAACACAAGAAGAGAAACGCATTTCATACCTTTTGTTTTGTTGTGGTCATGACAGCTCAGCTTGTTTAGTTGTCACGTCTTTGCTTTGAATCGTATCCACTGTAATCCTGTGTTTGTCCCAGTATAAATCCAGCCCCTGTAAGAAGGTGTGTGTGACTGGGTGGATGGTGGTTCTACCAGATGACCCGTCCAGACCCAACATCTTCCAGCTCAATGACCCAGACAAAGGTCAGCTTCACACTGCTAAAAGAGCTCCTGCTGTTTTCCCTTCCCTTCATATAAATCCAGATAATCACACAGAGCACTATGTGTCACTTCACAGGCAATGTTTACAAGTTCCAGACGGGATCCAGGTTTTCTGCAATCATCTGGCACAAAAACCTGGAGGAGGCTTGTAGGAGCAGTAGACCTCAGGTATGATCTGGCCACACATTCATCTGTTTGGACCATGGTTCAGTTTTGGTCAGATGAAACATGGTCTTTTTCCTGAAAGAAACAGATGAATATAAAAAAATATATACAGTATATCTTATATGGTCAGCAAAGTTCTAACCATAAGAAACACAACAGCTCTGTCAATAACATCTTATAGGCATATACTGTATATGTAGTCCAATTGTTCTATATTATCTAGTATTTTACATGGTGATCAGTCACCCTTTTGTGTGATGGATTTCTTACTGGCAATGTGACAGAGAGCAATCTATTCCACAAACTCTTATTCTTTAGCGATCTCTGGCCAGTATGGAAAAACTAAAAGGCAGAAATATGAAATGGTCTTTCTTTGTTTTACATTTTAACCACACTGCCTCCAGCATTCATGCATATGTTCTTCCAAAGTCTCTCTCCAGGACAGGTAGCCTGGTTTACCCATATGTCATTCCAATCATCTTCAGATCATCTCCAGGCATTCATCACTTCATCAGACATGACACTAAATTAATGCTGGTGTTGCTTTTTATTTGCTGAATGTGTTTGCTTACATTCACTATAATATTTAATTTTATAAGATGATAATAAATGTTGAAATTATAACTTGTTGCACTGCACCCAAGTGGCCAAAATTAATCAAATCAATCAATTTTTTATGTCTGCAGTTTTTTGCAGACACAGAGTAGCCACTAAATAAGATCTATGAGCATGCTTGGTGCGTTCTTTTCCTGTTTCTAATATTTGTACTAAATATCTGTTCTATTCTTTCAACAGATACCAGCAAACCTCATGTCATTTGAATGAGAGCAGACCTTACCCAGCAGAATGTTATTGTGCCAAACCCATTTGATTGGGAAGTAACTAAATGATGGAACAGTGGAATAAAAAAAAAAGTTAAGAAGCATCTGACACTGTAGAAGATGTTTTTTGGTACCAGATGTGCGACTGCAAATGCCAACACACCTGCTGTTTCCTTCACCAATGTAATGTAAACTCTGAAAAAATCCAGTCAGTGGAAGACTTTGGTGAGGCTGTCCCTTGTTTCTTTCTCTGAAGCTTCCTTGTTCGCTGTCATCGTTACGCTGCTAAAAACAAGTGAGCAAGTACATAGTTTTTTTGGCCCATGTTGGGTTCTGCTCGGTGAAAAGATGCACCCGTGCACAAATGTGGACAAAGACTGTTAGTCTACCTTTTGTTTGCAGACCAGTGTTATACGGCCTTCAACGTGGAAATTGGAAAAATACACCCCTGTTGTTCAAGTGGTTAAATTTGTGAAACTGACATGTCAGTGCACATCTCAACTTGTGAAAAGATCTGGAGTTGTGAGCATGGAAACCGTGACCCCGTTTGAAGGCCTCATTAAAGATCAGCACTGCAGCAAAAAGGACAGATGTGGCATAAAGTTGGACAGAAGTTGTTCCAAAATAAGAGAACACATAATATAATATGAAACCATAAAGCTGGCATTAAGAACCTGTGTTAAATTGTTGGTCAAATGAAGAAGCAGCCCTGGATCGGCTCACCTGTTCACCCCTCGCTACCTCAATTGGTAGTCCTCCTGTCGCTGGTGTTTGCTGATGTACATAACAAGGTTTACAAATAGCAACAATTAATATTTTGTACAGAACAAGTCAAAATTTGTCAAACAACATGGAAATGAGGCTGAATGAGGTGATAATTACAGTCTATAATGAAGAAGACAGCCAGCTGTTGTCCACACCAGTTTGCCAAGGCAGCTGGTAGAGTGAATTTAAAGCAATTTACAGTGAAGTACCAAGCTAACAATCAACAATCATGTGTGTGTAAATACTGTATTTATTTGTAAAAGAGTTTATTTTTTTGAAAGTTGGCCATCAAAGGGAAATAGTACAATGGATTATCTTTGATTCACCACCTGCTGCAAAAGCTGCTCCTCAGAGTGACTCTTGGTGGAAAGCCACCCTAAAACTTAGCTTGACTCCTGATCTCCAACTGAAGGACACTGGCATAAGGGAAGACTCCGTCTGCATCAGCACTGTTAAATAATCTGCATCAAAAGCAAAATGTTGTGTTAAATTTAAAGGATAATTCTGCTTTATTACAATTTGTGTTGGACTTTATTTTCATAGGTTTCATTCCTGTCAGTAAACTTGATTGGTGCCACTTCTGCGGTAATGTGTGTTTTACCGCAGTGGTGAATCAACAGTGGTGAGCCTGAAGTCAAGACCAGTCTATTCACTGGTCGATCTATGTATGGGTTTTGCATTATTACCAAAAGAATGTGATTGCGGGTACAAGAAGCCGAAATTAATTTCCTTGGCAGGGAATGTCACCCTTAGATTTTGGAGGACATCATAAGTGTTTGTTTATGACAGAAAATAACTAGTTTGGACAACGCGTTGTGCAACCATGGCCAGAGGCAAAAATGGTAACTGTTCCTAATGGCCAGCGGGCCATCACAGAGAGTGGAGAGACGTGATATTGTTTAAATAAGGGGATAACCAAACATTGTTGTTTACATAAGAAGTGATAAAAAGAAATAGTTGTGTAATGAATGAAAAAAGAGAGCTAGAGAGAGAAGTTCAAACCCTGCCTGTAAGTGTTGGATTGCCAGTTTCAGTGACTTACAGAAATTGTTGGACACAGCCAAAATTGGATGAGAGGGGGGGAGGGGGGGGGGGGGGGGGGTCTCCAGAGCTGTTTGACTGTCTGACATGCAGTTCTGATGAAGTATACTGACATCTTTATGTTTCACTGGAAGTGTTGCAGGATGGTTGAACAGAGTTTGAAGGCCCTCCCCCCACACCTTTCTCCTGTTGGAATTAATTTTGGTAACTTTCCTAAACCGACAATCCAACAATAACGGCCACATTATGCAGTGATTGTCCAGGTGTGTGGAGGTGTGAAAGAAGGCAGGGTTTGAACTTCTGACTTCAGTCAGCACCATGAATGCCTCAGAGAAGAAATTGTTGAAGAAAGTGTCATCATCTCATCATTATGCTCATTTGTACAGTTTATCTACGGCCACCATGACTAGGTGGATGGATGGAAGGGGACACAGCCACATCACTGAAATTAAGTCTGAAGGGTTATAAAGACAAAATTATCAGGAAGTGAAAATGAAGGTGAAAAGAACAGTTTTCCCCAACTTTGTACATTGTCATATCTGATAGAAACAATCGCCAGAGCTATGAAAATAAGATCCAACTTGTAATACAGGAATGATCCTTTAAGAGTAGAACTGACATGAAGTTAAACATTTACTAATAGATGTCATTTTTGTAATGTTTCCCTGTTGTAAATCATGGTAACTGGTCAGTCCTAATGGTAAAAAACAAGAAAGAAATCATCTTTTGTTAGGAGTAATCACAGAATCTTAAAAGTATGTTCTTTGTTTTGTTTTTCAGAACTCATTCAAGGATTGTCCTTAATTGTTTTTAGTGGACTTCTTTAACTAGTCCAATTTATTCTCCAGTATTATTGTCTGTCAGATGAATGCATTTTCACAGCTAATCATTCTGCAAATCATGCTGTTGTGTTTCATAAATTAGAATTCACTGTTTCTGCTGACTCCATTCATTTCTGTGGGGAGCGGAAATCAATTAGCAGAAACTTGCTAGAGTCTTGTAATCCATCACAGTGAACATTAGAGCATGCCAGACTAAAATATCAGCATCGGAGTATATTGTACTGTAGAGAAATGTCAAACATATAGTATGTTTGAGGTCATTGAGAAACATTTTGTAATTGGTCCTCCACAGAGCACTGACAAGTTAATTTTCAGCCATTCTACTGTCATGTCCACCATTTTGGTCCAGAGTTAGATATCTCAATAAGTGTTCGATGCCCTCATTAGGATGAATAATTATAATAACTTTGGTTATCCTCTTACTTTTCATCTAGCACCATCATCAGGTCAAAAGTTTCTGTTCAATACTTTGGTTTATGACCAAATACCTGAAAAACTCATGACATTCCCATTATTCTCCTCTCCTCTTTGTGTTTAGTGCTACTTAGCACATGTGTAAAATTCCGAATGCTAACACTAAACTAAGATGGTGAACATGGTAAACATTATACCTGCTGATGTTAGCATTTAGCTCAAAGCTTTGATGTATGTTTAGTACAGCCTCACAGAGCCGATAGCTTCACTGTAGACTCTTATTGCATTGTAAAATGTACACTCACTGCACCTCTTTGCAGAACTATTAGCAGTGATATGAAGTACATAATTTGAGGTAAATTGGCTTTAACAGGAATTATCACTACTATGGTTCTCTAGAATTTCAAAAATGTTTGTGTTTATGAAAAATCTGTCGACTGTTGAATAATGATTGGACTTTTTAAACTTTCAAATATCAATATATGTATTATAAAGTCAAGGGAATTTATTTATAGAGCACTTTTAAAAATAACAAGTGTTGTTCAGTGTGCTTTACTGGGAGATGAGAATTACAATCAAATAAAAACACAAACATACATAATTATGAAGAACAGAAAAAAAATCTTTTTGGATAAAATCATAAAAACACAACAGGTATATTGCACATTAAAATGTGTATTTATATATTACACGATAAATACTAAAAAAACAGAGTGTAAGCTTTTATGTCTTCATGAAGATTATTCAAGGATATCAAACGGCTAAAAAAAAGTGTTTAAATTGCCCTTTAAAATCCAGTCAGGCTCTACATTAAATCTGTATTAATATATGTCAATGTTACATTATTGTTATGAGCTCATGTTGTGTAGATTTTTCTACACAACTAGGGTCTGCTTATTGACTTTCAAAGCCAATAGAAACCGGTGGTTGCCTGGGAAGATAACTTTTGAACACACTGGGAAGGACCTTTTAATAAAGACCAAAGCACATTTCTTGGTAGACATATTGATATAATTGTCCTCTAACCACTGAGTGATATTAGGAATTCCTCATATACTGAACAAAATTATAAACGCAACACTTTTTTTTTTGCCTCCATTCATGATGAGCTGAACTCAAAGATCTAAGACTTTCTCTATGTACACAAAAGGCCTATTTCTCTCAAATATTGTTCACAAATCTTTCACTTGAGCACTTCTCCTTTGCCAAAATAATCCATCCACCTCACAGGTGTGCCATATCAAGATGCTGATCAGACAGCATGGGGATTGCACAGGTGTGCCTTAGGCTGGCAGCAATAAAAGGCCACTAAGTGCTCACTAACAGATTTTGACAGATTTGTAAACAATATTTGAGAGAAATGGGCCTTTTGTGTACAGAGAGAAAGTCTTAGATCTTTGAGTTCAGCTCATGATGAATGGGGGCAAAAACAAAAGTGTGGCGTTTATAATTTTGTTCAGTGTAAATAGACCATAAGATGTCCAGTCTTTAGCACTCATCACCTGTGAATGACTGAGCCTGTGTTTTTGTTCATTATTTAGTATTGTACTATTTTATTCTTGGAGTGGAAACAATTTTGAGGACATGTCTTGACCAGAATCAGATGTAAAATTCAGTATGAATTTCCTCTGTGCATATCCAGTAAATACATATGTGTCAGTAGATAATAATACAGTGATATATTTTTTTGTTGTATTGGATTTGTATTCCACCCAATTCCACCGCAATAGATTTAAAAACATGACCATGAGGTTAAACTCTGGACTTTCAGTTTAAATTTTAGTGTGTATACATGGGTTGGTTTCAGAAGTGGTTAGAATATGATGAAATTGTTATCATGCCTTCATAAATTCTATTTTCATCATACACTTTCCTGTATAGAGAACTGATACTGATACTCTAAATAAATATAGGTTAAACTGCAGAGAAGGTGGTGGTACTTTTTCAGCCTTGTCTGAATGGAAGTCTGTCTGCAGACATTGCTTCAGGCTGCTACTCTCTGCCACTCATTTAGCTTATGCTTTAAGCATATAGTAATATTTGGATTTTTATCAGTTGTTCTCTCATCTACATTTTGGTGGTTGCAAATTAAGAGGACTCTGTTATGAGAAATTATATAAAGAAAAATTGAATGATTTTGACATGACCACTAGTACTAAAATTGGGGCTGTGTGTATATAAAATCCTAGACTATTCACACAGTATGGATATGACCTCACACACCTTAAAAACTGATGGTTAGCAACCTCATGGTCATTGGCCATTGTTCCATTATGCTGGGGTTGAACCAAAACCACAAAAAGCACTGTCCACCATCCTGAGAGCACTGTAGGTCCAGGATGTTTTAGCCTAGCCACAGCACAAAGACTGGAAGCAGAGGGAACTACTAGCCTAGCTCTGTCAACAGTGCCTTCAAGCAACTCCAGAGCTGTCTCCATTTAACCATGTTAGCTACAAGCTAGTCACCAATTTGAGGGTAACCTTGGTTATGTTGTTGACTTCCTGATGCTGTGTGGAGGGCTGGATATTGAACTCAACTAAATTTTTGTATAGGCCAAAATATATTGGTAGCACTTAGTATCGAAAACTACCAAAAGCAGGCATTGGATGTTTGGTCAGATTTGTAATCTTGTTTAGGCCTACTTATTCTTTAATCGGAAAGTTTGTGATTTAAATCAAAATTTGTATTTAGGCATCGTGCTTGTGCTGCTTGTGATTTGCTAACATGTAACATTTGAGAACTTTAGATTATTGAAAAATGTGCTCTGGCTAGGCTACATATCCAACCCAGGTGATCTAATAATATAATAATAATAATTTGTACAGTGATGAAACTGACATTGATCTTCTCATCTGACTCTGGGAAAGACCACAAATACTTTTTACCAACGTCTTCACCCCTGAGTAGGGGTGGACAATATGGATTAAATACTCTGTATGTAATTGCATACCCAAAAAATGTAATTATATCATGACACATTGTACATTTTACATTTTGATGCAGACATTTTCTTATGAATAAAATAACCAGACACTGATAACTGTTTTTGGTTAGTGTAGCAAATGAAATCAAGCACTCATCGAAAAATCATATAAAAGTCCAATATTGTCAGAAAGCAGTCCAGCTCAGTGATGTGCATCATTTGTAACATGGTGGTAACGGTGGCCAGTGCTCCCAGAGATACTGAGGGGAGAGGGACACATGTACGTATAAATAGTATGACAAAATTTCAGACAGTTCATAAATTTATATAATCTAATTTATTTATTATCGTCCTATAAATACCCAACCCTAAACTGGGGTATTAAAAAGTATCCACTAGGGAGCATATAGCGGCCTGCATTTAAACACCAGAATATCTTCTTTGAGAACCTCTGATTTTACACAAGGCAAAAATAACATGGTGATGCTCAATACATACTACTGTATCTTATTAATGCTAAGACCATGGCAGAAAATGGTGACCAGCTCTATTCATTTCTCTTTAAAGCTTTCTCCCATTGTGTTGTGTTCAGTCAACTGCTGACATTGTTCATATCATAGTAGCTACTATTCATGTGCCTAATGTTAATGTAGTGTTAGAGAACATTTTAAATTAATGCAGGATATAGGTGGTAGCCATCATGCATGGTTAATGGTTAATTAACAGCAAATGTATCATGGGTCAAAGAAGCACATTCTCCAAAATGTTCTTTTGAAGAATTTTGCCATGATTTAGCATGGATGGTTTTAAATTGGACTCTTCAGTTTAATGCCAAACATGTGCCACCTCAGTTTACATGAACTTTTCTCTATACAGTAAGTTGTTACAGGAAGTGTGACTTTTTTTTAATAGCCATTAAGGATTTTTGAATAACTCATCAAGTCAGTAGCACTAAAGTTCAGTCTGCCTGCTAAGTTATTCAAGTGAACTGTAGCTATCACATAAGTGGGTTTAAAAATGCTTATCTGTTATATATTACGCAAATGTCTGTGCAGACTCTCAGTCATACTGGTCATATTCTAGTGGGTTAAAATCAAGGGCTTGCTTGAAGACGTTTCGCTTCTCATCCAAGAGGCTTCTTCAGTTTTGACTAGGTGGCAGGGAGTCCCAACTATTTAACCTCTATGGGTTGGTTATCATGGTGATGGATACCACCTGGTTCGTTAGTGCTCCTTGCTGTTGTAACGGCCAAGTCTGAACAGCCGTTGTTGGCATTGTTGGCATGTGAGCATTTGTTCAATCACCTGGGAGGAGATGAAAGGACCGCATTGTAGGTGGGGGATAAGTGGTGTTGCAGACCTCTTTCCTTGTTGATTGATTGTTTCTCTATTCTGGTGTAAATGTCTTCTTTCACTCCTCTTTCAAACCATCTTTTCTTCCTGTTCACAAAATGTGTAAAGAGTGTCCCTTATCCTTCAAATGTAAGTAAACTGCTGACCTGAGTTGTTCCCTTCTGTGCTGAGCTATGACTTTTGCATTAGTGTTTTCCACTGGTTTGAAAGAGGAGTGAATGAGTCCATTTACACCAGAATAGAGAAACCATCTCTCAACAAGGGAGGAGGTCTGCAATGCCACTTATCCACCATTTTCAATGCTGTCCTTTCATCCCCTCCCAGGAGATTGAACAAACACTCAAATTTGGCCTCAGGTGACTTCAACAACCATAATACAACAGTAAGGAGCACTAACGAACCA